ATTGTGATATTATTATATTATTTTTGATTATTTCTATATATTAACTAATTTGTAAATAATAATTCTTAAAAAAAATTTAGCAATAATATATTATTTGATATAACTAAATTAAATATATTATATAAATATAAAAAATAATTTGAAATACAGAAAATATTTCAATTTTTTAAGATTAAATATAAAAATTGATCTAAAATCTTTAATATATTAATAATAAATTTATTTTTAAAATTTAATTATATTATTTTTTATAATTAGCTTAATTAATTATATAATATTTATTATTTGATATTATTAATAATCTAATATTTCTTGTAATTTATTTTTTAAAAATTTTTCAAATTATATTCAATGATTTTTGATTTATATATTTATTATATTAATATAAATATAAATCAATTTTTTATTGTATATTTAATTCATATAAAAAAGAAAACAAGAGAAGATTTTTGAAAAAAAAGATTTATTTTAATCTAATTCTAATATATTCAAACTTTATCCAAAAATTTAATTCTATATAAATATCTTTACTATTATAGAATAATCAAATTAAAAATATATAATTATTTATATTAGTATTTTACTTAAACCTAAAAAAATTATAGTATAATATTAATAATTATAAGAAAAGTATATTAATTTTTGTTTTTATTTATTTAGAATATTTTTTAAAATTATTATAGATTATAATATGCTTTAATAATTATTTATCAAACAAATTAATTTTTGAATTACATATTTTATAATAGATTATAATTATCTTAAAATCTCTTATTATTATTTAAAAATTCTAATAATTTAGTTTTCAGATCTATTTAATTTTGGTTTAATTTAAGTAAATTATAATTTATTTATATTTTTATTAGTATATAAATTTATATAAGTTTATTTGATTTCAATTTTCAAAATTCTATTATTATTAATTAGTTTAACAATTAAATCAAAATATAAATATTACTATAATTACTTTAAATAAATGATTTCTTTATTTTTAGTAAAAAAATTATATGGATTAGAAAAGAAAAATAAAATAATAATTTAATTAATACAAAAATAAGTATCTAAATCTGTACCAATTTTAACAAAAATTGTTAAATAATTCTATTAGAAGACAATAAGAGAAATTAAAAAATATATTTAAAAAATAATTAAACTAATAAGAGTTATTAATTAAAACAAATAATATTAATATTTTTATACTTATAAATATATTTTTTAATGCCAACAAAAAATAAAATATTATATCTAAATCAAATATTTTTAATTAAAAATCAAAATATTATAAATATTCAATTCAAAAAATATATTCTATCTTTTAAAGTTTAAAGACTCAATAAACAAATATATATATTTTGTCTTTTAAAAGTCTAAAAACTCAATAAACAAATAATTAAAAATTTAATTCCAAACAAATCAATATTTAGTTTCTTAATTTTGCTCAAAATTTATAAAAAGCAATTTGAATAACAAAATTTGAAGTTTAATTAACAAATTATTTTAGTCAGATAACTCTTTTCAATAAAATAAAGATGAAAATAAATATTAATAATAGAATAATAAGATATAATTAGTTAACTTGTTAGAATAAAAATTAAAATTTATTAATTTATTTGAAATTGCATTTTTATTTATACAAAAGTTTTAATATATTTAATACTATTTAGATTATAAAGTATTATAAAAAGATAAATAATAAGAAAAAAAACAGTTAAATAAAAATAATAGTATAAAAAATAAAAATAATAGTACTAATTTAAAAATAGCAATACTAATTTAAAAATAATAGTACTAATTTGAAAATAATTATACTAATTTAAAATAATAATGTTGATTTAAAAATAATAGTTCTATTTGAAAATAATAATACTAATTTAAAAGTAATAATATTAATTTTTAATTTTTTAATGATATGATATTTGTATAACTAAATAAGTAAACTATTTTTATCAATTTAATATTTTTTATTATTTTTAAAGATTTTCATATTTTCTATTATTTCATTAATTAATAAATTTTTAGAAATTATTATAATATTTGATCTATCTTTAAAAATTTTGTTTTGTAAAATTTTAAAGATTCTTTTTAAATTTCTTGATCTTTTGATCTTTTATTTGTCAAATTTAGTAAAAGTTAAATAATTTATATATATATTTAGCAATTCTAAAAGATTTTTCTCCAACTTAAATTCCAAAATAGTAGTAAATTATTTTTTAATTTTTATTATTGTCATATATATTTTATTAAAATTTGGAAAATTAATTTTTTAATTCTATAATATATAATTATTCTTTCAATTTGATTTATTTTTTCAATATATATTTATCTAAAAAATTTTTCAAGTAGTAGTTTTCAAGTTTCAGATTTGTAAGTCTTTTCTTTTGATATTTCTTCAAGAATCTTTTTTTATCTTGATTTTAAAATTGTTAATAAAGCATTTTAGTTTATATTAAAATATATAACTCACTCTGAAATCATTCTGGAGTGAATTATATATTTTGATATAAGTCAGAGTGCTCTATTAACAATCTTATTTAATTTATTATAAAGAAAAATTCTTTTTTATTATTATTAATTATTAGCTCTGAATTATTAAGTAAGAATTTATTAATTATATCAAGATCTTAAGCTAATTTATTAGTAGATATAAAATATTAATCTTGAATATTATATTATTAATAATTATTTTATAAATTATAAAGATCAAAATTAATTTGAATTATAAAGTAATAATTTTTCTGATATAGTTTCAAGCTATTTTTTCATGTGGAATAAATTCAAGTAGGTAAAGATATAATAGAAAAAAAGAGAATAAAATATATAAAGTTTTGAAAAAAAATAAAATAGGAAAATGTAAATATTAAAATCGAGATAAAATAAAAGAAATATTTATATAAAATTTAAAAAAAGAAAAAAATAAGATTTTTAGATAAAATAAAGATAAAAAAAGTAAGATAAAAAGATAAAAATTAAAAATTAAGAATTATAAGTAATGAAAAGTTCAATAACTATTTTAGATTCAAATAATATTTCTATAAATTAAACTGAATTGAACTTTTATCTGAATTTGAGTCTGGTTCAAAATTTGAACCAAACTCAAATCAGATTTTGTTTTGAGTTCAAGAAAAATTCAAAGTTCAAACTGAATTCAAATTGAACCATTATACAAGTTTAAGTCTGGTTTGAGTTTAATTAGAGATTAATATATAATATTATATACCAATTTATAGTTTTAAATAAGTGTTAATACTTTAATTATAAGTATTAATTATAGTATTTAGTAAGAATTAAAAGTTTACTTAGTAATAACTAAATTATTTTTATTTTTATAATTATTAAATTTTATTATAAATTATATATATCTCTTTAAATAATAATTATTATTAGTAATTATCTTATATTAAATTGTAGTTTTTATTATTAGCTATAATTTTGCTTATAATTATAGTTTATAATTACTATAACAAAATAAAGAATAACTAAAGTGGATTAAAATTGTAAAAATTAAAAATATTTTTTAAATCTAAATATCTTTTTGAATATCTATTTTCAATATTAACTATTTTATATCAATTTATAACTCTAATTCTAATCTATAACTTTATATAAAACTTATTAAACATTTACTTGAACTTGAATCAGACTTTTAATTAGATTCAAAGTTCAAATTAAATTTGTACCAGATATTTAATTAAATTTGAATTTGTGAATTTTTGAACTAGACTTTTGATTAGATTTGAGTCTAGTTCAAGCTTGAATTGAATCAAACTTTTCTTGAAACTCTAAGTTCAAATAAGAGTTGTCTTTTATAAAATTTTTTTAATTAATTATTATAAAATTTCTTTTTTAATATTTATTTATAATTTGTAAGTTCTATTAAAAAATATTATATATATATATAACTATTTTAAATATTATTGTAATCAAAATTTATCACTATATTTTACATGTTGTTTTATATCATTTTATTTTCAATTTCATAATATTTTACTTTAGATAATTTATTATTATATTATTCTTTGAATCTTTCTTGTGATAAGTATTTGCTAATTATAATATTATAAATTATAAATTTGATTAGATAAATATTTCACTAACTTGTAGATCTAATTTAATATTTATTCTTCAATTTCTATTGGTATTTCTTCAAAGATTGTGAATTGTAATTCAATAAGTAATCTTGTTTTTTATCTATAAGTTAAGAAAAATAATTTATATTTAATTGTATTATTTTGTAATATTCTATAAGCAAATAGTACTACAGGAATATTTGTATTCCAGTCTTCTTGAAATTCTATACAATATTTTTGTAATGCTGAAGTTGAATTATTTGATTGTATATTTAAGTAAATATATAAAATATATAATAATAATTTATATATATTTTTTATTATTAATAGATTGAATTTAATTCTTTGTACTATATTTAGTATAATTTGAAAAATTTGTAAAAAATTCAAAAAATTATAAAACTAAATATTTTTTATATACAAAAAATCTATTAGATACTCTAATATTATTAAACTTGATTTTACTTAATATTAATTAATAAAAAAATTTTTTAGAAAATATTATTTTTAGAAATTTTGGCTATACTGCATGTAGTACAGTGCGAGGATTATTTTAATTATAAAATTACTAATAAATGCCAAGCACAAAAACCAATCACCAAAAAATTGCAAGAAATTTCATTTTTTTAAAAAAAATCTATAAAATATTAATTATAAAAAACTTTTAATGCATAATTATATGTATTTAAAGAACTATTAAAAAATATTTAAAAGTATAATTAATATATTGGATTAGTAAATAATTGCTATCAAAAAGTGTTACAATGTACTACCAGTACCGTAGTATGGGTAAATACAATCCATTAATACAATACATAGTTAATTGTAAATGTCAAATAGTTTTATATAAATTTTCAATTGTCCAAATTTTCAACACTAGTTTAGGACATTTCGGATTAATATCTCATTTTCCCCAAGTTACGAACTTTAGGATTATAGTGAATTGAAAATAGGGTTTGCCGAAACACTATCTAAAATAAAGCCCTCTTTTCCCATTGATATTAACTTTCTACCATCAGTTTTTATCCACGTCGATGAGTCTGCTGTGCTTGCCTCTTTAGGATATTGTGTGTTTAGTATTGCTCTACCAAGGTCCATTTGCCGAACAATCTGTTTCATTCTGCTCAACGAATTCGTACGTTTAGTATTCGCCATACACACACATAGTAAGATTAGGAGTCCGACGATGGCTATATAGTATTGTATGGCAAATCGTATGTCATAGCATGTTTTCTCTATCACAAATTGAGTGGGACCAGTGACCTTAGCTTGTTTAGTAGGAGAAACCATATTGACCATGACATCAGTCCACTGGCGTTGGAATATACGACTCATGCCTTCTTCAGTTGAGCCCTCATCTTTCCATTGTTGCAGTAGAGCCAGGTTTCCGATACCGTCTCCCCGATAACCACTGATAATATCCTCGAAATCTGTTATTATGCTTAATGCTACACCAATGGCAGTACTACCAGCTTGTGCATCGTCACCTCCGCTCCAAATGAAGGAACTCCCTGCTGGTAACCAAAGACTATTCTCGCTTACTAATATGCTGTTGTTAGGAATATTTTCTCCGGATTTGACTCCTCCCCACCAAGGCTTCATGTCACTAATATTAAGGTTAGCCTTTTCAATATACCATTGCGCCGGAATGGTTTGCATATTCATTACACTAATTTGTTTCTGTTCATTAGATTGCAATTCGATATCCTTTAAGCTAGCTTTAACTGCACTAGCGCAGCTGTACATGATTTGTTCGATCCCTCTCGCAGTAACTTTAGGTGATCCAAATAATGTCCAACATTTGACGCCAACTATATTCATTGCAACGCTGTCTGAACCACCATACCCAGCACACCTAATATCCGCATTTGAGAAAAGGTTTGTCAAATTCGAACTCAAACTGAGATCGGCAAACTTTTGAACACTATTGACAGACTTCGGCTCAAGGACTCTGTAAGCTGGAGACTCAAAAAAATTTCCATTGGCTGTCATATTCATTCGCTTTGTGACAATTGATTGTATCAACTGACTGTATCTGATGCTCCTTGATGAGAGATCGATCATTTGTCCTTGATCACCAAGCGGATGTATGTCTGGTGGTCGCAAGTCGGTGTTGTTAATGACCATTTTTGCTATCCAATTCACCGTCGTTTGATTTTGCCATGCGATCTGTGTAATGTTAGTTGATTGACAACTGACATATGGTTGTAGCCACATGCCTTCAATCGTCCAGCTGGATTTCTTGCCGACTTTACCTCTGGGTTGAATCGCCTGATTCATTAAGAGTCCACCGTTATCATGATCTACAATCATTCTGTCGATAATATTATAACCCGTTTGTGTGCTTGTAGCAACACCCATCATAAAGTCATAGCTAGGGTACGAAACATTATCATTGCTACTAGTTTTCAACAGACGGTACCTCATGGCATTGTTACTATAAGTTTTGTTAAATTCAGCTGCATATGTTTCATCAACATGCACACGATCCTTCATTCCCGGACATGGCTTCCAATTATACGCACCACATATCCTAATTTGTGATAGTTCATCCAGAGAAAATGTGTCATTAACCGCACGACTAAGTAAATCCGGCTCGACAACATCCATCTCAACAGCAGCATTATATATTACCGTACAAGTCTGAATACCAAGCGGTGCAATAGCCGATGCTCCATACAACACTACCGGACATATTCCAACAAGTAAATAAATGATGTTACGCTTATACGGTCCGATACCCCACAAATTAATTCCTGTTAACGCCGGTTGACCACCTGCCCCATAACTGCTAAGCAGACTGTTCTGAGTTAGTTTACTTAAAGTTGTCCACTCTAAGGCTGTCATTTCATCACGAATGTTCCTCAATATCACTATAGCTCCTGTCACACCAATAATAATGGGTAGTAAAGTGCTGATAAGCCCAATTAGCGCTGCTAATTGACCAGTACTCAAATTGAACATTATATTTAATGCCATTCTTTCTATAGTAGTTTGAAAGTTTACAAAGTGCAAAAATGGTTTTGCGTTCGTCGTGTGTGCCGATACTTTTATGAAGGCAAGTGTGTATTCCTGATAAAAAGAATCCAGCCATATCTCTTTATATTTTTAAAAAAATTCGTTCAAAGGAGGATTGGCAATAAACAATACGGCACTTCATTTAATGAATTTAATTCTGCATTTAGCACTCAGTGATTTTTTTCTAATTTTAGTTAGGGATTTTTATGATGAATATTCTTCCATTTTAGTATTATTGACTGCTACGCACGTATTTTCTCTTGTTGTAAACATATCGATATGCATGTTTAATTAAACGCATAATTACGTATTCGGATTTCTGACACGTACTAGCACTAGTACTGTACATGTAGTTCGGAAGTAGTTTCAAGTTTATTCTTTTTCTTATATACTACTAATTTAAATTTAAATTTGTTTATATCAATTTTTCAAATACGTAGAAAAAAATAACCTGATTCATCAGCGATTAGCAATTTTCAAAATTGTAAAACTGTTTCCGAACTACTTAACGTTAACATCTCTAATTGAATATACATGTAACGATAACGAGAAATGTAAAAAAAAAATAAATTCAGTTTTATGTAATAATTTCTGTTTGTTAGTTATAACGATAAAAAGGAAACAAATAATCTAAATCCAAGCGTAGTATACTTTAGGAATTTGTTTCCACTAAAATTTTCTACTTCATTAACTGCGCTTATGGAATCCATTCAATCCAATCACGATAACTATCATAATATATCATTGCCACTAGTGAAATAAAATTTAAAGCGAAATTCAACATTTTGACATTTTAATTATCGCAGTTTTGCAATTAGTGTGGAAAATCTGAATTTGAGAATTCGTGAAATAAATACATGTCTGTTAACAAAGTAACGTTAAATCTCTTAACACTTAATTTCTCTATGAAGATCTTACCTTAAATAGTCCACAATATAATTCATACAGTGTGCACAACTTAGTCCCAACTACATGTACTAAATTTAAATTACTACTTATCCAAAAAAAAAAGTAATAATAGCGATAGAACTACATGTACTTGAGTTAAATAAAGCTATGCTTTCAGATTTTTTTATATATATAATAATTTTTTAATGTAGTAGTAAAAATAATTTTATTATTAAATTAAAATTTGGCCACTCTTATATAAAACTAATACCGATACAATAAATTTTTTTATTACATGTATACAATGTGGATAACCTGTATATTTATTAATAAAATTACCAAATTAATATAAGATTAACATCTAAAATTGGCCACTTAAAAATTTTTGGTTGGAACTACGTAAGTAGTATGCACTGTAAAAATCCTTTTTTTTTAGATTTCCTAATTAATCCGAATTATAATACCGAAAATATGTAGCATCTCGTTACGAAACAATGCCTTTTCTTCTTTGTCATAAGCCTCCCTCCCGATTCTTTGAAATTATGGAACGTCTCAACGCATGATTATCTAAAGGACAAACGATTATCTGTAGACAATAGTCCTTTAAGAGAAATAGATTAAAAATCGAACGATAGATACTTTATTGTTGATAGTAGGCCCCAAAGAAACAGATGTAAAATACTAACCTTAGAATTAGCGTAGTAATTCAATCATGTATATATAGAGGTGCTTTCGAGCCTTCGTAGAAACATGCTTTTGATCTAATAAAATAACAAAGTTCTCACTTGTAGTAATCTTACCTGTGAATACACTATTATTTTCTTTCGTTTCATGATCAAACTTCAAACCTTGTGAGTAATTGCAAGTAGTGGATGTTCCCCCACTCTAAATAAGCCGTTGAATTGTTATTTTGTTTTGATTTTTTATTCTTCTTGGACAGGCCGTATCAATAAGTCCTGTTGGATGTTTTGATTTTTGATTTTTTTCTTGAATAGGCTATATCAATAAGTCATATTGTGTTAGAATTGTTGAATAATAATAATAATAATAATAATTGTTATTATTATGTTATTATTTGTAAACGCCCCTTACCTTTGACGTCGATTTGCGCACAAGTCACCACAGGAAGCCTTTAGAACGCCCAAAGAAACCCTTTGCTCGTAAATGATTTAGTCTAGCTTGTAATCACGTCGCAAAACGAATTATTATAAACGATGCAACAGTACATGTTATACGTGTAATATATCCGCCAAAATTGAATTATTTTAACAAAGAAAACTCGAACTGCAATAAAAAATATAATGCCTAGACATAAACCAATTCTGATAATTATTCAGACCCGCCTTGTAGTTAACTTACTTTTCGTTAGAAAATTGATAAAAGAAAGTAAATGCTCGTTCGTCAAAAGTTATTGTTATAGATTGAATAGACTTGAGAATAATGACACTGATGCTTGTAAAGTAATTAATATGCAATTCGTAATATTGCTGCTCACTTCAGTCTAAAAATTGTTTCATTATATCGATATTCAATGCAAATAATGCGCTCTAACCACAAAGTTTCTTTTGTTTAATCAATGGAATCGCAAACCTCAACACCATTACAATAAATATAGAAATAACATCTATTAGTCAGAATTCTTTTAACTCGGAAACTAACTATTCTGAAGATTATTTCAAACCGGATTTTAAGACGGATAGAGATTTAGCCGCTAGACGATGTATCTATTTTTGGTTTGCGAAGATTAAGATGTTGGAAATTTCAAGTGATGAATCTTGGAAAATAGGTGCCGAATTATATTCTTCGTGAATAAATGCTAGTAATTTGGTAAAATTTCTAAAGACTAACGACAGATGCAGATTCTGCAACAATCGAAGTGTACTTGTAATATTATATACTTTGCTGCTTAATCAAAGTCGTCGCAAAAGATCTCTTGAAATAAATAATTCATGAATCGCACTCGATTTTGTTATGCTTCAATTAGCAAGTTTCACCACGTATCAATTCTTCAATTTCCATTAAAATCTCGTCTTCATAGGCTTTTTCAAATCTAATTATTCACCTTGGATTTACTATTTGTCTAGTAAAACCATGGAGGTATCAATGGCAAAAAATATAAGTTGAATTTTGACACCGAAGGGAAAACCTAAACTGTTCTGTTGCTGATTTCAAATATCACTCGAATGCTTTTTTCGTCCATTTTGATAACACAAACAAAGATAACGTTGTCCTCTTATAACTCTATATTTTTAGCTATGAATCCTGTTTTGGAGATAAAAGCAGACGGAGCGGTTGGCTTCATAATATGCTTGATAAAGGTTAACATATTATCTAGGGTTTCGCGAATTCTCTTTTCTTTTACAAAATAGTACTCTAATGCTAAAAATATCGTATTTTTCATTCCTTAGAAATGTGGGATCAATATAACTTATCACGCTCAAATCGAGATACAAATACCTTGCCATTGAGGGAATACCGACAGGTAAAGGTAAGTCAAGTTGGTTGAGTATTAATGACTCAAAAAATTATTTTCACATAAAGATAATTTTTTTTAGCATTCCATTTAATATGACCGATTTGGAAGGCAATTTTAATAATTAAAGTAAGTTGGCAGCTTCTAAAAATTTCTTGTATTACATATAACCTTGTTTAATATTCTATAGACCCACCCCGCGCTCCTACGACCTTTTTAATCCTATTTGGTGGAAAGTGACCCAGGAAGTTGTCTCATGCGCGTATCGATTTCGTTCCATAGGTTTTCGATTGGGTTTAGGCCAGGGATTGGGGTAGCCAGTCAAGAAAAGCAATGTGATTATCAGCGAACCATTTCTTTGCTTTTGCGGAGGTATGTTTTGGGTCATTACCTTGCTGAAAGTTCCTCCAGAATTTTCTCCTAGACCGTCCCTAAAAAATTATTATTCAGTATGTCTACGTAAACATTTGCATTCATTATTATGTCAATTTTTTGCAACTCGCCAACGCAGTCAGCTGTCACGCAACCCCAAACCATAATCGAGCCGCCACAAATTTCACAGTTGGCGTGATATGTTGGTCTTTCAACGGTTCGCCAGGTTTCTTCCAGAAATATTTTCGGCTGTCTGATCCAAAAATTCGGTATTTGCTTTCGTCAGAAAAATTACGCGTCGCCAATCGTCGGCTGTCCAACTCCGGTATTTCTTCGCCATGCTAATCGTTCTTTTCTATGTGTTTTTTTGAGGTAAGGCTTTTTTCGCTTGATCCTCGCGAATAAGCCATTTCTTCGGAATATACGTCGTATGTTCCGCCGAAAGGTTAACTCCAACTCATTTTTAAACTCACGTTGGACTTCAACGGCGGTGGTACATTTCCGGAGTAGATTAATCGCAAAGCATTTCGCTCGTAGCGCGCTGAGAGGGTTAGTGGGCGACCGGGTTTTGGCTTGTCATCGAAAATTCCGGTCTTCTTTTTTATGGTATACTCTATGGACGGAAGCTAAACCCACTTTCTCTGATGCTGCAATTTCCCGGATCGAATATTCTTCCTGTCAGAGGGCGTGTATTCGGGCGCGTTTTTCTTGTGGAATTCGAAGCATTGGAGGTAAAAATTTGATTAATATTTTTGCATGATAGGGAAATGTATTTTATTTACAGTAAATGAGCATTTCGGTCATATTAAATGGAACGCCAAAAAAATCATTATCTTTTTTGTTAGAAGATAGATCAAAATAATTTTTTGATTCATCAATACTCAAAGCATCATTTGAATCAAATTGACTTACCTTTACCTGTCGATATTCCCTCAATGGCGAGGTATTTGTATCTCGCTATTTTTTTTTCGGCGTTCCGTTTCTTCTGTGAGCCACTGAACATGCACTGTATCGGCATACATGTAGATATAGATGTAAGGTTAAACTGGACTGGCTAACAATGTAGATCAATCAGATTACACGATAACGATATACCGATACGTGAATGTACAGTACCCCCAAAAAGTAACGCCCGATTTGCATGTGTAACCAAATTTACACAATACCTCTTATTATCAACATTATTGCAGAACAAATTTCACTTGGACTAATATATTGATACTAAGTCTCCCTGGTCCCGTCATGTTGACAATAGAGGGTTGACTGTATATCAAGTTTTCTCCCACTTTGATAAACAAACTTGACGTTCTGTTTACTTTTTACGATACATTGACATTTTAATAATATCATTGTGAAGAAATGACGTCCACCCGAACACAATTAAACGAAATTGAAAAAGGGAAGATTCTGGCATATATGGCAACCCGTGACCCCACAACAATACGGTGCTTCATTAAGAAGTATAAAAAAAAAAACAGGAAAAAGTGAAAACTTACCACGTTCTGGAAGACCACCTGTCCTTAATAACCACTAAAAAGAACTACTCCTATGTAAAGTTAACGAAAAACGACATTTACCACTCCGCGAAATTGTCAACAATTTAGATCTTAACTGTAGTGTATCGACTGCCGCAAATGTATTGTACGATGTTGGATTTCATTCCCGTATCGCAGCAAAGAAACCGTATATCTCGGATATACATGCGCATATTCGTGTTAGCTGGTGTGAAGAAAATGAAGGAAAAACCATTTATAATTGGGGAAATATAATTTTTTCTGATGAGATGAGTGTGGAAATTGGGAAGTTATCACGACAACCAAGGGTTTGGCGGCTGGAGAAAAAATGGAATGTTAATTGCTTGGTACCTACCTTTAAAAGTGGACGAAAATCTGTAATGGCTTGGGGGTGAATACAAAAAAAAATAATGAAAAAATAAATTCAGATGTTTATCTTAGAATCTTAAAAGCTAACTTGTTATAAAGCAATTAAGGAATTAACTGGAAAATACGCGACTTTTCAGCATGATAATGCACCGATCCATAATGCAGGAAAAATCAAAGAATTGTTAACAGAAATAAAATCACGACTATTAACTGGCCGACCTAAATCCAATTGAGAATATTTGGAGGGTGTTAAAGGATAATGTCCAAAATTATGAAGCTTTTCCGCGGTCTGTAGATGAACTTAAAATTGTGTTAAAGAAGGAATGGGAAAAACTTGATCCTTCTGTTTTTGAAGATGTTATTTCCTCAATGCCAAGAAGAATTGAAGCAGTATTTGAGTCAAATGGAGGGTCAATTAAATAAAAGTTTTTATTTGGTGTATAAATTGTTGAAAATAAAATAAATTGGAAAAGTGTTAAAATTTTTATGTTTAATTTTGAATCGGGCGTTACTTTTTGGGTTACTGTACATGTATTACACTTTTTGTGATTTGTTTATCGATACTATCCAACCATGCAAAATCTGGCTTTTGGTCTCTTACATTTAAAAATGTCAACCTTCTTTGAATTGCCCGCAGAAGCTTGGACGCCTGACGTCATTGAGTCTACTACTTCTCTGACAGCAGTACTCACATTTTCGGCTGTATTAAAGGATCTTGAGCAACGTGCCAATGCCAAGATTAAAGATCATGGTGCTCAGCAGGCAACACAGTTTCTGACGTCCAGCTGGAAGGTATGTTGTTTGGTGTATTCTGGCAAAACAATAGCATTTCTTTTTTGCCATAGTGTCCGACCTTTTTATGATATGGGTAGAAAGAAGGTTGCGAAAAAGATGACAGAGAATCTAACCACTATGACAACTATATACTTGCACTATCCTCTGCAGACTCAAGAAACTGCTTAGTAGCCGAGCGAAAATAAACGTTTGTGTGATAGATTATGTATGAATAGGAGAAATCTTTTGTCGACGTTTAATTTCATATTTGTAACGAATTGCTTGTTAACAGCATGATAATTAGTACACCGAGCGACAAGCAGTTTTATAGTGGCAACACTTCCTAGACCATTGGAAATTTTGGCAAAGATAAAGAAGATAATGACTTCTCATACTATCCGCAGGATTCTGATGCTTTTACGGAAATATTGAACAGCTGTATGAACGGATTGAGTGGTTGGTTGGCATGGGGAATGCTGTATGAAGGTGCAGAACATGTATGTTTAGTACTTCCTAAGTCAAGAAAAAGATGATGATAAACCAGTTAAACAACAAGAACTAACTGCGGAACAAGATCAAGCCTTGAACAAACTATTGGAAGAATTTGATGATATATTTGCTGCTGAACTCCATGAACTTGAAAGAATCAACAAAATCCAACATGTAATATATCCAATTACTAAATTTTGTCCAAGTCCAAGTACCTTAGATTCAATTAATTGATCCCTATTTATCCAGTAGGTCATTGATATGAACATTTCAGAACTACTTATAGAGTCAGCTCTGTATTGAGAAAGCGCGTGATGTTAGTATAGAAAATGCAACCGAGATTCTGTCAGATCAACCGATATGTTGGAGGCATTGGCAAATCGAACAAAAAAGTTTGATCCTTCGCTTCAGGACAATAGGGTTGATTATGCAGTGTCCACGTCGATAAAGTACAAAAAGAAGATTTGTTCATAGCAGAAATAAAATTACCAGATTATCGCGGTCAGAATGATTTATATGACGACAAGGTCAAATTAGCAAATATGATGATTGATGATGATATAGAAGACAAAGATATCTGTGGTTTCCTTGTGCAAGGTAAGTCATCTGTCATAGATTTCTTCTTGGATAATGTTATAAACGTTACAATTTTTTTTACAATATCTAGAATTTGTCGTTTCCTGTACGTGATGGATTGCCATATGATGCAATCTACAGGATGGTCCTTTTGTGTCGATTTTTCCTGGGGTTCTCTTTAAAGCAATACAAGTCTTAATGAATAAAAGGTCGGCGCTACTCTTTTTGTTAGTTTAAATACGCCATAACTGTCTTTACAGGAGATCTTAAGATGATTGTAATGCGAACTTGCGAAATCTGCGTTAAAATGTTACGAACTTTAAGGCTCATCTTGAATAAAAAATTGATAAATGAAGATCCAGGCTTTTGCTTGGTAAGTGTAGTTAGTACTTTGAATTTGGGTTATGTATTATTGTTATTATTATTATTACTTGTCTCGATTTATTAAAGATCCAGCACAATATAATCGCGCGGGAATTCTTTAATTAACTACTGGACCGATTTTTCATAATTCGCAAGAAGCAATTCTCTTTTTAAAACAATTACAAAATCTACCATTGGTGGGATAGAGTATGTATGAATAGGAGAAATCCTTACGCTCATCTTGATTTTGTCGACGTTTAATTTCACATTTGTAACGAGCATGATAATTAGTACACCAAACGACAAGCAGTTTTATTAGTGGCAACACTTTCCAAGCAACATACCTTCCAGCCGGACGTCAGAAACTGTGCTGCCTGCTGAGCATAATGATCTTTAATCTTGGCATTGGCACGTTGTCAAGATCCTTTAATACAGTCGAAAATGTGAGTGCTGCTGTCAAAATAGTGGACTCAATAGCGTCAGACATCCAAGCTTCTGCGGGTGATTCAAAGAAGGTTGACAGTTTTTAAATGTAAAGGGTAGAGATTTCGTAATGATAGATAAATTCGTTCTGTATGGTTGGACAGTACGTATCGGTATCCAGTGAAATACGAACATGTATGTATGCCATGTACATACGTATGTATCGATACGTATAAGGATTTTTCTCCAAACAAAAAAAATAGATACATGTATTAACGTTAACATTAACATTAACATTAACGTTAATATAACGATCATATTAATTCAAAAATAAAAAACAATAATCATGGCGTTTGCTGCTATAGCAGGAACAACAATAGCGGCTAGCTATTTAGATGCAAAATACGGCATAACTAGAGATATAAAAACTATTATGACGAGAAATGCTAAATCAAAAACCGTGCCGCAGTAAACATTTATCTCCGTACATGTAATTGATTAAAATTTGAGTTAGATTCTGAATATTTTGGTTCTAATAGAATAATAGAATTGGGTAAGAAAGGATATGGTTCAGCTTATTTGCTCGTAGAAGATGCCGCTAGAAGATGGCCGAATAAAGAAGCGCTTGTTTTTCAAAATCGAAGTTGGACATTTGCACAGTGTGAACAGGGTAAATATAACGTATTCTTGTTTTAGATAAAAACTTCAAATTCTGACTTCCACTATTCAAATTTCTATAGAGGTTGGTAAATTGGTAAGCAAAAATTTCTTTAATACTTTCTTTTTTGTCGTCTAATTAAAATGCTATTCAATAGGCAGACTGGGCACAATCTCAAGGACTAAAGCAAAAAGGCAAGTTCACAATCCTTCATCGTTATTATGATGACTTCAATTTCTAAACTAAGTTCACAGATGTTGTTGCGATATACATGACGAATTCGGATCTCTACATCTTCCTTTTTCTCGCATTCGCAAAAATCGGAATCATATCATCACTGATGAACACAAGGCTCCATAGCGAAAGTCTCAAATATGCTCTCGACTTATGTAGACCGAAATTAATTGTCGTGAGCGAAGACCTCTTACATATTATGGAAATGGATGATTTTAAAATTCCAATTGTCGAATTTCGATTTAGTAATAAAGCGTCAAAGAATAACGATGACGATAACTGGAATGCAACGACAACGCGAACAAAACGTTTATTCTTGAACGAATTGCCGAAAAGTGATTTGAATAACTTTGTTAGACCGAACATCAAGTTACACGATGCAGCATGTTATATTTATACAAGTGGAACTTCGGGCTTTCCAAAGGTATTTGTTTTTCGTGATAAAAATTATTATAGCTTTGATTAATGTTTGTTTTTATTGCAAGGCTGTCGAGTTTCTACACCTTCCATTTATATGTAAGCATTCTGCTTTCTAAACTTCGAGAATTGGCATAAAAAATTAAGATCTTTTTTTCAAAAAAATTAAGATCTCGAATTTACTGCTCCAATGCGAGGAATTTCCTTCGATGAGCGTCGATATTGTCCACTGCCACTTTATCATACCTCGGCGTGTAAGTATGAATTGATTCTTTTGATTAATATAAAAATCTTCAGTTTCATAATTCAGTATGTATTTTCCTCAATTTCATATTAGTGGCACTTGGACTTTACCCGTGCTGGGGAGTTGGAGCGACATTTATAGTCGGGCAAAAATTTAGTGCCTCAAAATTTTGGGATGAATGTCGAACTACTAATGCTACCAGTTTTCAGGTATATCTGACGATTTTAGTTTATACGCTAGTATACGAGTGAGCAATTGTTGCTAATGTTCGAAATACTTTACAATAGTATATAGGTGAAATCTGTAGATATTTGATGTTACAGCCACCATCGATTAACGATAAAAATCATAAAATTCGTTTGGTTCACGGGAATGGTATTCGTAGTGATATTTGGCAGGCGTTTAGAGAGCGGTTTGGAATTGAAATAATCGTAGAGGTTTATGGACAAACCGAAGGTAAAAAATCTATTTATTATTGTATATTGTATATTGTACTTTTACTTGTAGCAAACCTAAAATATGACTGGAGAAAGCAGGCAGTGTGTTGATCGAGAACAGGAATTATGGGTTATTCGGGCTCGGAGCAATCGGTTATCGAGGACCATTGCTAACGTAATAATTTTTGTTTGATACAATTATCGAGAAATGTTCGAATTCTATGCTAAACTAGTTTCGTTTCCAGTTTACTAGATAAGTCACAAGTCATAGTAAAATTCGATTTTGAAAAGGGTATTCCTTATCGAGATCCAAAAACAGGTCGATGCATTTTGGTAAGTAACACCCACAAAATTAAACCATAATTCTATTAGACATTAAATTTTTTTTCCTTGAAATGAACGAAGGCTAAAGTCGATGAGTTAGGAGAAATGATCTACCAAGTAGACCCAAATATATCTCGTGGATATTTGAATATACCACTAAGAGAGGATCCCAGAAACCTGTTGGATGTATTTAAAAAGGGTGATTTTTGGAGACGTATGGGCGACTTGCTGGTTCTTGATAAAGACGGGTGGTATCGTTTTGTGGATCGGGTTGGTAATACGTTTCGATGGAAAGGTAATTTGATTTTCATTTTCTCTGAATCAACATAATACCCAAAATAATTAAACTGGATTTCTGAAACTTTTTAGGTGAAAACATTTCATCGCAAGAAGTCGAAAAAAAATTGTCTGCCTATCCACATATTATTGAAACGATAGTCTATGGAGTGCCACTAAAGACTTATGATGGCCAAGTGGGAATGGCAGCTCTAGTTCTTAATCCGAAAGATAAAAATTCCATTCAAAAGACAATGAAAGAACTTCCTCGATTTTTAACCAGTTGTGGGCTGCCTAATTTTGCAATTCCAAGGTTTATTCGATTAATGGACGAGTAAGTGATTTCAAAGGTTTCAAATTATTCGTCAAATATAATAATATCGATATTTTTTGTAATAATACAGGATGCCAACTACCGTAACATATAAATATAAAACCAATCAATTACGTAAAGAAGGAATTGATCGCGTACTCTGTGGATATGATAACTTGTTTATTTTGGATCATGAGCAATTTATTTATATGCAGCTAGATGAGAATATGTATCATAAAATCAAGAGAGGTGATGCAAAGTTGTAAAAAATGCATTTATCATGTTATTAACGTTAAGCTTTTCATTATGAAACGTATACATGTACCACGAATTACGTAGATTACTGTATATTTCTAACACGAGCGATGCATCAAGCCTTGTATTTTTTTTTTTGAACTGTACAAGTTTATTGTTACTGACAAAATATCAATTTATGTATGAGTATCGGTAGTTCTACGGGTTTAAAAATGAATCTAGATCTAGTAAACTGTTTCTAACAAGGTGATAGTCTGATGAATTTGATGAAATAACGAAAACTATCAAAGCATTCGCTTGGAACTAGAAATACAAAATGATACTAAGCTATAAAATAAAAAAAGCTATGAATTTAGATACAATATATATAAACAAAAGGTATTGAGAAAAATGTTCGTAATGGCTAAAATTCTTTACAGGTTGTTGTTGCCCGAGTAGTTTCCGTTGTCGTCACCGATGTTTTCATTACCGTTAACGAGTCCATTGTACGAGCCATTATTATTACTACCATTATAGCTTCCGTTCTCGTTGCCTTCGTTCTTGTTACCAGACAAGGAACCATTGCTGTTTCCTTTGTTCTTGTTTCCATTCTTCTTTCCGTTTTTATTGCCTTTATTTATATTTCCGTTTACGTTTCCATTGCTATTGCCTTCGTTCATGTTACCATTTTCTTTTCCATTCAAGTTACCAACATTTTCATTTCCGTTGGTATTTCCATTGGCATGACCTTTATTTTTATTGCCATTTTCTTTTCCGTTTTTGTTACCCTTGTTTTTGTTTCCGTTTGCGTTTCCATTGTAGGTTCCGTTGTTTTCGTTACCGTTGCGCATGCCATTAAAGTCACCTTTGTTAACATTTCCGTTGTTGTTTCCGTTGGTGCTGCCATTATTTAGGTTTCCATTTTCGACTCCGTTAGAGGTACCATTGTTTAGGTTTCCATTCAAATTGCCATTATCATCACCGACATTTTTATTTCCATTCTTCTTTCCGTTTTTGTCACCTTTGTTTTGGTTTCCGTTTACGTTTCCATTGCCATTGCCTTTGTTCTTGTTGCCATTTTCTTTTCCGTTCAAGTTACCAACATTGGAATTTCCATTGGAATTTCCGTTGTCATGGCCTTTGTTTTCATTGCCATTTTCTTTTCCATTTTTGTTACCCTTGTTTTTGTTTCCATTTGAGTTTCCATTGTTGGTTCCGTTGTTTATATTACCGTTAAGCATGCCATTAAAATCACCTTTGTTAACATTTCCGTTATTGTTTCCGTTGGCAGTGCCATTGTTTAGGTTTCCATTCAAACTGCCATTACTATCACCGACATTTTTGTTTCCATTCTTCTTTCCGTTTTTGTCACCTTTGTTTTGGTTTCCGTTTACGTTTCCATTGCCATTGCCTTTGTTCTT